GTTTGAACAGAACAAGGGGATACTACATTTTTTAAAATCAGGAAATGTGTGCCTCAAAGTTATATTCTTTCACCATACTTAATCTATATGCTTAGGAAATAATCTGAGAAGCTGGACAATATGAAGAAGAACAAAATATCAGGGTTGGAGGAAGAGTCATAGTGACCTCCTTTGGGTTTCCAAGGCTGTAAATCTCTACAGAAGCAGACCACACCATCTTTCTTCTGTAGAGCAGCTGGTAGGTTTGAACCACCAACCTTTTGGTGAGCAGTCAAATGCCTTAACTACTTCACCACCAGAGTTCCTTCATTTACACTATTACAAAACAAAAACAAACTCACTGCCATCTAGTCGATTCCAACTCATAGCGACTCCCCATTGGATTTCCAAGGCAGTAAATCTTTACAGAAGTAGATTGTCCCATTTTCCTTTTGCAGAGTTGCTGGTAGGTTTGAACTGGCTTGTGGGTTTAAACTCCCATTCTTCTGGTTCACAGTCAAATGCTTTAGGCACTATACCACCAGAGCTCCTTATTTACCCTATTACACAGTCCCAAAAGTCTTAAATCAACTCCAAATCCAAGATCCTTGATAGAGAGGGAGAACAATGTGGAACAAAACTCAAAATCATTTGGAGGAAAAAAAAAAAAAAAAAAAAGGTGGGGACCAGGTTTGCTGGTCTGATAGAGCCTGGTGGAACCACTGAGACTATGGCCCCTAGCTGCCCTTCAGGTCTGGAATTGAACCCACACCTGTGGTTTCCAGCCAAACAAAATACAGGCATATGAGTTGAACATTTACCTCAAGTAGATAGACTCTTTGGAGAGAACAATCATGGGAGAAAGAAGGGCTGCTTATGCACAGGGAGATAGCCTGGGGGGGGGGGGGGGAGGGTATGGAGGGGTGGACACTGGGAAGAGGTAACTATGGGGAGGAAGTGGGAGGGGAGCTGTTGCATTGTGGTAAACTGTGGTCAATGACATGAGACAAAGTATATGGGAACTGCTGTATGGAAAGTGAATTTTCTCTGTAAATCTTCACCCAAATCACAATTTAAAAAAAAAAAAATCAACTCCAAATCCAAAATCTCATATTCTGAATAATCTAAATCACATGGATGAGACTTTAGGCATATTCCATCCTGAGGCAAAAATTCCTTTTCATCTGTGAACTTGTGAAACCTAGAATACAAGATATGGCTTCTAAAGTCCAGTGGTAGAACAAACACAAGTTAGATTTTTCAAATGGGAGAAATTGTAGGGAAAGAATGGATAACAGGCACCAAGCAAGTTCAAAACCAATCAGAACAAATTACATTAGCTATCAAGGCTTGAAAATAATTCTCTATTCTCTGAGAACATCTGGACAATGACCTCGCCCTCCAGACTCTGTGTATTTGTCATGCTCTCTGGATTCTGGGTGTAACCCCCTTGTCCTTGAATGAAGACCCCACATTACAGACACACTGGTAAGGAAACCTGACCCCCTCAGCTTTGGGTGGTGATCCTATACTCTTGGCCTTTGGGCATGGCAGCCCCACCTCTTTAGGTTTGGGTGATGGCCCAATCCTCTTGGCCCACCTGAATGGCAGCCCCACACTCTGGAAACAAGTTGGTGGAAATCTGACTCTTTGAAACCTAGGAGGAGCTCCCCCTTTTGAAGCTCAAGAGGCTGTGTCTCCACCCTTTGAAACCTAGTCAGCCCTGCTTCCAGTGTTCCTTCCAACAGTTCTGCTGATCTCCAAGCTGCTCTTGGGATGGTCCTTTTCTTTTTTTGGAGGAAAACTAACTCCTTTGGCCGGCTGCCTGCCTACAGACTTAAAAGACAGATGGCTTTCCTTTCTTTTGTCCTGTCCTGCCTCCCATCTTCAGTTGAAGCTGACGGTTTTTATGCTTGGTAGTTGGTTCAATAACAGGTTTAATCTCTTTGACAAAAGAATGAGTCACCAACTCCTTGGTAAGAGTTTTAGGGCACATGTCCTTATTTTATACAACAGAATTTTCCAAATCCTTAAGTTCTAGCTTTTTTTTTCTTTTCTTTTCTTTTCTTTTTCTTTTTTTCAACTGTGATTTGGGTGAAAATTTACAGAGCAAATTCACTTTCCATACAGCAGTTCACATACACTTTGTCTCATGACATTGACTACAATTTACCCCAATGCAACAGTTCCCCTCCCACTTCCTCCTATTCCTAAGAGGAATAGTTACCTCTTCCCTCTGTACATCTCTCCATGCACTCCTACCCTCTGAGCTGTCTCCCTGTGCATAAACAGCCCTTCTTTCTCCCATGATTGTTCTCTCCAAGGAGTGTATCTACCTCAGGTAAATGTTCAACTTCTATGCCTGTCTTTTGTTTGGCTGGAAGCCACAGGAATGGGTTCAATTCCAGACCTGAAGGGCAGCTAGGGGCCATAGTCTCAGTGGTTCCACCAGGCTCTATCAGACCAGCAAACCTGATTCCCCCCGCCACCCTTTTTTTAAATGATTTTGAGTTTTCTTCCACATTGTTCTCCCTCTCTATCCAGGATCTCCTACATAGATCCCCCTCTGAGTGGTTGACAGTAGTAGCCAGGCACCATCTAGTTCTTCTGGTCTCATAGTCGTATAGGCTGGGGATCTCATGGTGTACCAGTCTCTAGGACTAATTGTTTCCATGAATCTTTGGTTTTCTTCATTCTCCTTTGTTCTGGACAAGGAGAGACCCATGGTTGCATCTAGATGGCTGCTTGTAAGGTTTTAAGACCCCAGTTGCTACTCGTCAAAGTAGGAGGTAGAACAATGTTTTGTGTAGTATGTTATGCCAATTGAGCTTGATGTCCCCTGAGACTACGGTTCTGAGTGGAATGGCTTATTTTAAGCATAGTGGGATGTAAAACTAACCAATCCCTTTGTTAGAGTTCCATACACCTTATTTCCATGGTCCCTCCCCCATAAGGGTGCCAGACATTTTATTTGCATATCTAATAAGCTGTCCAATCCTGTTGGTGGGCCACAAGCAACTTTTCTGCATAGTTCCACCCAGTCATTTAGTAAGAATTACAAGACCATGGCTAGGAAGGTCATATAAAAGGGATTCATTGCACAGGAAGTACCATTGCTTATTGGTGATATACTACTTCCTGAAATGGTCCAGTACCTGTTCCAAAACCCAATATGTCTTTGATATTACAGTATTTGGGTAGGGCTGAGTGGTCTCCATAAATGGGAGAAATCAGTCTCAAGCTACAGAGAATTACTCTCCCTACTACTTCTGTTGTTATTAGGTTCTGGCAAATTGATTTTTGATTCTTAGCAACTGAATATAACAGAGTAGCACTGCCCCTTTGGGTTTTCTAGACTGTAATCTTTATGAGAGAAGATCACCAGCTTTTCTCCCACAGAGCCACTGATTGGGTTTGAGCTGCCAACCTTTTGGTTAGCCCCATGTGCTTAGCCATCTATTTACTACTAAACGAAAAGAAAAAAGAAAAACCCACTGCCATCGAGTTGATTCTGACTTATAGTGACCCTATAGAACAGGGTAGGACTTCCCCATAGGGTTTCCAAGGCTATAAATCTTTACAGAAGTAGATGAAGCAGATTGCCTCATCATTCTCCTATGGAGTGGCCGGTGGGTTTGATCTTCTGATCTTTTGGTTAGCAGCCTGCAGTGAATCACTTAATATGGCCCTTCTAGTCACAATCCTCCATTTTGTGATGTATTATAAATCCTAGCCTCTATGCCTATGGTTGTGGTCCCATTTTGGGATGTGTTGTCCATTATGTTAATGAGGCAGGTTTAGGGTTGGGTGTATCTTGAGTGCCACCTTAGTAGAGGGCGTGACTCAAGTCACCCCCCTTCATTTCCTTGAGGGTATACATATGAATGCTCTGGCAAGGTTCACTTTCTTGCTCTTGATCCTACATCTGGTTTGTCATCATCTTACTCCTGGTTCTTGGGACAGCAGCCGGTCATCCTGCCTGTTGATTTGGGTTCGTAAGCCCCTGCACTCATGTGAGTGAGGAGAATCCTCCAGATCAACACGTGACCTACGGATCTGGGACCTGCCAGCCTCTACAACTGTGTGAGCCATTTCCTTGGCAGTTCATGAGTTCAGTAAGATGTTATTGTGAAATACATAACCCTAAGATGGGAGGGAGACTACTGAGGGAAGGAGGACTAGTTCATGTTGGAGATGATGGAGTAGTACAGTAGTTTGGAAAAGCTGGACATTTGGGACATCTTTAATCTCCACCTCACAGGGTCACCTTGCACTGACCCTTCTAAAAGAAATTATTTGAGCACAGCCAAATGCTTGAACCACTGTACCGACAGAGCTCCTTCCATTTACTATTACAAATGCCTTATATTTAAGACATGGCCTGATTAAGTATAGAAACAGATAGAAAATATCTGGGAGCTCTTAGTTACCAGTGTTAGAATCTGTACATGAAACATTTCATCAACTCTATGATGTATCAGTACTATTACCATACAAAGACAATGGTTTCAAGGGAAATATATAAATCTGTGAGCAGATTATTTCAAAGTCCCAGAAGCAATATGAGTGAGGAAGTGGCAGAGACCCCAGGGAACTAAGGCTGTCTAAGGACCTAAGACAAAAGCAACTTTTTGAATACTGGTAAATGCAAGCCTAGATCAGCCGACTAGCAGTGATGTGAAAAGGAGATTTTAGAAATACTCTCACTCATTAAAATGCAGCAAAAAGTGGTTTTATTGCTGTGAATACTGTGCAACAAAGTTTGGCAAAGTCCCAAGTTTAAAAATTTGGAGGGCCAGATCCTTCTTTGATCTCTTTCCTATTGTCTTTCTTCAAAACACACAGATACAAAGTAGAGAAAAATTATTTCCCTTTGTCTCAACTCTGTTCTGTTATCCTAGATACTCTAATTTTTCCAGTATTTTCCTTCTTCCTTCTGTAGAAATAGAGAAATCAATAGAAAAAAGAAAAAGAGATAGTAAGAGAACCTGTGCCAAGTGAAAGGAAAAGTGATAGAAAATTTAAACGATCTTATCTAAGTGTACAGGAACCAACCGATAGGGAGGGTCTCCCTTCTCAGGGGGGTCACAGGCAACAATGAAGAACTTGAATATGTTAGCATCTTTGTAGCGGCAGTCAGGATACCTTCCTGCAGTGAGGCTGCATTGAGTCATGTTAATAGGCTTTGGGCTTCGGTGACAGTTGTTCCGGCCATTCTTGCAGATGGTATTAGGCAAGTCACAGGTAGCAGCCACATCCTCAAAGGAGTCATGCAGAAAGGTGTTTTCAGGCTTACAGTGCTGAGTATATTTGTTGACACCACTCATTGCCCTGTTGCATTGGAGAGGACTTAGCTGTATATGTTGGACTTCAAACCATTGAGCCCTGGTGAAATTCTTAGGCCAAGCACAAAGTAGATGCACTGGACCCCATAGTACCAGCAATAGGAGGAGAGAAGAGCGTCCCAGAAGATCTAGCACCATCTTCTCTGTGTATAAATAGGGAAAGTAACATTAATAGTAGAAGCAGTGAGAGCAAAATTATTAATCATTGAGATTGTAATGTGTCCTTTAAGATTTCATAGTTTTTTGGGTTTTTTTTTTTTAACCACCTTTTTTCTCACTTGAATCTTAAAATTCTATGAAGAGCCTGAAACCCAATTTAGAAGAATAAGGGGTAAAGAGTTATTCTTTCATCTGATTGACAGACTTCTTCTCTTTGTCCTGTATTCACATTTAGTGGCCCCAGTGCCCAAACCTGGTTTCTTCCCTCTTCACCTCCTGAGGTGTTCATGTTCAATCTATTTGATCATGACATCCCACCTTCCCTGATTTCCATCCCAGCCTGGAGTCTCCTCCTCTTACCAGGTCTCAGTGTTGGGGCTCCTGCTGAGAACTCAGAGGCCTTCTTCTGCCTTTCTTCTCAGGGACTTGTCAGAACTGCCCATGTGGGTCAGGGGAAGAAGGATTCTGAGCCTTAGGAAAGAGAAACCCAGGGCTTGGCAGAGGAACTTCTTGCACAGAGCATGGATGAGACTTTTAAATCGTCACAATAGCTTTCTTAAGTGGTATCAATATTACTGTAGATGTCAGAAGAGTAAGCCCATTTTAAGAAACCACATGACCCAAAACTCACAATTTTGAGGAACAGATGACTTCCTGATCTCAGTTGAGTGCTTCCTTTGTAATATGGATCTTCAGATTTTTGAGGTGCTATGATTTCAGTTCCTTATGACAAAATACACCATGTAAATCTTATATAATAGTTGCTACCTGCTTGGTAATGTTGTGCGTTCAACAACAGACTTGAATGAGTTATTCTTTCATGCATACGTTTATTAAGAGCTCTGGTGGTGTTGTGCCTAAGGCATTTGACTGCTAACCAGAAGGCTGAAGGCTCAAATCCACCAGCCACTCCTTGGAAGGAAGTTTGGGCAATCTACTTCTGTAGTGATACTGCTTCAGAAACCCAAGGAGGGGTTGCTATGAGTCGGATCTGATTTATATAATAGTTGCTACATGCTTGGTAATGTTGTGCGTTCAACAACAGACTTGAATGAATTATTCATTTGTGCGTACATTTATTAGATCAGGTTTATTTATTAACTGGCCTACTCAAATTCATGAGTTCAAGGTCTAATGAAAGAGATAGGTATATAGATAACTACAATATATATTAATAAATATAGATAGAATATATAGTTGTGATAGAGGAAATCACAGGTGAGGAGATAGTGAAGGGAAAGGATTATCAGAGGAAGTAACACCTGAAGTGAATTTTGATGAATCATTAGATGTTAGATAGGTGACCCACTAACCCACTGCCATCAAGTTTATTCTGAGGCATAATGATTCTATAGGACAAAGCAGAATTGTCCCATAGGGTTTCCGAGGTAGCAAATCTTTACAGAAGCAGACTGTCTCATCTTTCTCCCACAAAGCAGCTGGAAGGTTTGAACTGATGACCTTTTGGTTAGCAGCCAATGTTTTAAACACTATGTCACCAGAGCTCCTTTAGCTAAGTGAAAAGGATGGTAAGTGTATATGTGAAGAGACCCAGAAACATGAAGGAGAAGGGCAAATTTAGGGTATGTGACTCTTGAATCTTTTCTTAACTTTCCATCAGTGCTGCTAATCCTTGTATTTAGAGTCTCATAAGACATCAGTCTCAACGAGATGGATTGACACGGTGGCTGCGATGATGGGCTCAAGTATAGCAGGGATTGTGGGGCTGGCGCGGGATCAGGCAGTGTTTCGTTCTGCTGTGCATGGGGTCGCTATGAGTCAGAAACGACTCGACGGCACTTAACAACAACAACAACAAGACCTCAGATAAGCCTCTTATGTGGACTTGATGACTCTCTCTCTTTTGATTCCAATCCATTTTAATCTCAAACACAAAATCACAAGCAGGGCTTATTAGACAGTTTACATATTATCCATTTTACATATTACTTCAAGATGAGTCTTCCTTGAACATAAATATGATAATGTAACACTCTTGCTCAAATGCTTGTAAAGGCTCCAATTATCTACAGGATAAAATTGATAGCTGTTAGCCTGGCCAGATATAGTAGGACAACTCCTCCTCTCTCTGCAGTTGCATAGCCTCAAGTCTACCACCAGAGGAAGACATTTTCAGGCTTGCCATACCCCTAGGCAGGGGTTCTCAACCCTGGCCTCACATCAAAAAATGCCTATGAAACTTTTTTAAATGTCAGGATCCCTCCCAGACCTACTGAATCAGAATCATGGGGAGCAAGGTCTTTGCATGTCTCTGTCTAATAAGCCCTGCACGTGATTTTGTGTTTGAGAACTATTGCTCTTGACTGACACTGATGCTCACCGGATGTCCTAATTTCCAGGATTGAGTTTTGTGGTGCCGTGAATTACTTAATATCACTTAATATAGCTCTTCTAGCCATGGTTTCTATGACTCCCACCAGATGACTAGGTGGAACTATGTAAATGTGAGGTGCTTTGTGGCTCACCAAGGGGATCGAATGGCTTGCTAATAATGTTAGTTAAGTACATGGCACCTGTGTGGGGATGGGACCATGAAAATAATATGGATGGAATGCTAACATGGGGATTGATCAGTGTGGCCATCTTGTTAGGCTTAAAATAAGCCCTCCCAGAGGCAGAAAAAGGGGATCTCACTACCATCAAGATAGAAAAAGAAGCTGGGAGTGGAGTGTGTCTTCGACCCAAGATCCCTGACCAGAGATGACAGAGAGAAGACAGAGATGGTAGAGAGATAGCAGAGAGGCAGCACCAGAGGAAGCAGAACCAAAAGAACCAAAAGACCAGCATGAGACAGAGTGGCAGGCTTGCCAGCCTATGGAGTGAGAAAGATGAGTACCTTTAGGCAGGAGGCTTACTGATAGAGTGGGATGCACTTAATGGGAGAACTAAAAGAGCTTTTTAGCATTTTCCTGAGCAGGGCAGAGACCAGGCCAAGAGGCTGAAGGCCAAAGAGAAGCATGCCTTTGGGCATGGCTGAAGGAAGTCTGTCCTGATAGAAGAATTGTATTCCGAGCATTCCTGAACCTGAATTATAACCTGTTACTTCTCTAATAAACCCCATGACCATGATTATGAAACCGAGTAAAATCAAAACTTGACTATTTCCCCCATTCTGGTTAAGACAGATAATTAGAACAGATAGGACCCTGGTTGGGAATAAGTAAATAAACTTAATTACCCTCAACTATTTCCCCATCCTGGTTAAGACAAATAGGACCCTGGTTGGTGACAGATGAGTAAACACAATAAGCTCAATTCCTTAAGAACTAAATGGAACAAAAAACATTCTTTCCTTAGGCACAGGTGATAAATGCGTTAATGTGTCTTAGAAAACAACTTGAAAATTAACTCTGGCCCACAGACAAGCGCAATGGGACAGAGAGGAACAAAGTTGCTGGGAACTAACACTCTCCCCTCTGCCTAAGCCCCATCAGCTGATGACAGGAAGCTGGTGTGACTCATCCGGTATGCAGGTGCACTAGATTAAAAACTTACTGTCCCTTTAAACCAAGGTGAAGGAAATTTCAGTCAGTCATCAATCATCTCATGCCCAAATTCCTGAAATTTTTATGAATATGCATAACCCTCTCTTCTGAAACCTACACAAACTGTAATTCGCTGGAGATCCCGGGAGTCAGATCTGGGTACAGACCCCTGCCTCCCCGCATTGCTGCTTTGCAATAAATAATTTTCTCTCCTCTTAATCACTAGGTGTGTAAACTGTTTTGACCTCACTGTGCACAAGGCAGGGACCTGCATTTTGGTCCTACTTCAGTGATCTTGTGTGAGTTCTGCAATGAATTCTCAAACCCCGCGGAGAAGTAGAGAGTGCAGCAGGAGGGACAGTTGGTATAAGAATTGGTAAAAAGTTTGGAGGCAGGTTTGACCTCATAGGAATCAGCCTTGGGCTGCTGATAGTGGTTTTCTCTCTCCCTCCTGAAGTTAGAGGAGGTCAGATGAAGTCACCTCCACCTCCATTCTTTGCAGTTGACATCAGAAGTGGAATTCATTGTAATGGTTCCAGACTCATGGAAAAAAGGAAGGGGCATAGAAAGTGAAACTTTTGAATCTTAGTTGGTTGCTTCGGTTGTTACTTGTAATGGTTGAAAGGAATGTAAAAGATATTATGTTGAAGCTGAGGGGAAAAAAGCCTGGGGCAAGAGCCAGGCTCATTAAAGAAGACTGCTAATGGGCCAGGGTCTTCTTGTTCCACTCAACCGGAGGCCCATGTCCATATGCATAGAATAGGAAGATGGTCAAGGTGTGGAGAGGAGATGAAACTGGAATGTTTTAAAAAGGGTTATGTTTTATACAAATATAATATAGATATTGAAAGTTTCTCCTAAATATATGATGAAAATGAATAGTGGGTGCTATAGATTAGAGAGAGCATGTAACTCCACCACCTTCAGCCCATACTTGGTTGGATGTGCTAAAAGGGGAACTAGAATTTGTCTGAAAGAAACAGGGTGTTGATTTGAATGCAGTAGCCCTGAGGCGTATCGGGGGCCTTAGGTTGCAATCTGAGCCTCAGCCAGGAAATCCACATTTGAAAAAAACATGCAGACCCACCCAAAACTGCATAGAGTTCAGGATATTTTTTTTGTAATTGATGGAAGGACCTGCAGGGTAAAAAAAAAAAAAAAAAAGGAAAAAAAATGTGTGTGTGTGTGTGTGTGTGTGTATATGTCATGGGCCATGAAAAGAAGCCCTTTTAGGATTGGAAGCTAAAGGAAGCCAGCCAGTACACAGCCTGATTTGCTCACCCATGGTAACCCCCTGGTTCCACTTGGTGAGAGGAAGTGGGGGAGGTGCAACAATGAAGAAATATGCTGAGGTTTTACACCCGTTGATGTAGCCCATGGAGATCAGGGCTGAAAGAGGAAGGGCTGCCTGGTCTGAAGTGCAGGGAGGTGTGTAAATTCCCAAGTTTACAGCTGGAACCCATTCACCTAGCATGGATGGCTAGGGATAAGCTACCAGAACCTGACCTAACACTATGAGCTGGTGTATA